TCTGTCTGTCTGTCTGTCTGTCTGTCTGTCTGTCTGTCTGTCTGTCTGTCTGTCTATCCGTCTATCTATCATCTTTATCTTCACCCTCACTTCTCTGGAGCTTTTCACTCCCATGTTCCCTGCACACTCAGCCTTCTGAAAATCAGATCATCCCATAAAAATCATTGTTCTGAGCCTTAATACAATTTCACAGTGCTTATGTTAAGAATAAGTAATAGAGTTCACTCTCGCGTAAGAAAGTTTTAAGGTATTCCGGCAACTTCATTCACCAGGAAATAATGGAGTGTGGGTGAACGGCAGTGTGTTGACCACACTAGCGTATTGTCACACCCATCACAACTGGTGATATGCTGATTATGGAAGCATCTTTTGATTCTTATCTGCCAAAATTCATTCTAGGACAATTGTTTTACGGCTAATTGATAAACTCTAAAAAGGCAGGATTTATAACAGAGATCCCAACGGTTTCTCTTTAATATTTGGAACAATAAAAACTAACCCTTTCTGAGGTAAATGTGACAGCCCAAGCACTGAAATGATGATGTTTTTACTTCCATCCACTGCGTTTCAATTTTAATTATATGAATATCGCAAATTATACAGCACCCTTATTATATCCCCTAACAGGGCTAATTTTTAAGAACAGGCTCCATCAATTATAAATTTTCCGTGGCGTTCATAAAATGGCGGAAAGGACTAATTATGATGCCTTCTGAGTTGATGATGCCTTGGACTAACCAGTAACCAGGTCAGAGCGATCCTTAAAAAAATAATAATCACGAAGCAGCTAATTATACATAGAATCACAGAAAAAGCGCTAACCTGATGAGTTCCACCGTCTCGGAGTACATGGTGTATGGAGATTTCGCCTCTAACGGATCACGCTCCATAGCATTCCCGCATTCGATGAAGGAGATCGCCGCGTCGGCATAATTCACGGCTTTGCCAAATTTCTCCAACTGGAAAATAAAAGGAAGTTGAGACGACGCTTTAGTTGCTCTTCAAGATTGGCGAAGGGTTTCATTTCCGCTAGAAATCTGAGCCCTTGGGTGCCCCTCCTTAAGGATCTGGATACGGATAGGCCTCGACTTACAGCTGCCCCGAATTTTTGTTGCTAAATGAGATGTTCTTTCAATGACTTTTGCCCCGCTTTCTTGCCCTGGTTCTTAAGTGAATCATGGCAGCAGATAACCTAGGCCAGTGATGGCAAACTTTCTTTGTTGTGGTGTGCCGAAAAGTGCATGCGCATGCCGGGACCCACAATGCAATGCGCCCTCCCCATCACACATGCACATGCAATACCCTCGCCCTGCCCCTTACCTGCACTGCACATGCACACACCTCCCAGCTAATTTTCAGTCCTTTTGAGGCCGTTTTTGCCCTCTTGGAGGCTCGAGCGAAGCCTCTGCGGCCTCGGGAGGCCGAAAAATGGGTCCGTTTTGGCACTTCCAATATTTCCGGAAGGCCCATTTTTTTGGCCTCCCGAGGCTGCAAAAGCTTCCCTTGAGCCTCAGGGAGGGCGAAAAAGTCCTCAAAAATCAGCTGGGAAGCATGTGCATGTACAGTGCAGGTAAGTTTGGCTGGGGCTTGCGTGCTCGCACAAATGGCTTTGTGTGCCACCTGTGGAATGCGTGCCATAGGTTCGCCATCATGGACCTAGTCCTTCTCTTCACTAGACTAGCCATACCCTGTTCCACTAATTATGATTCCTTCTGATTTGATGATGCCTGAGTTGATGTTCTTTATATGTTTTAACCTCCACCCCACTAATCCTCTTGGTTGCTCTTCTCTGCTCTTTTTCTAAAGTCTCAATAACTTTTTCACATCCTGGCAACCAAAACTGGATGCCAGCTGATCCAGAGAATTATCTGCATTACTGCCCCCACGGTGGGCATTCCTGTTAATGAAGGGTGCTTTATTGCATACTAATAATTAGCATAATTTAATGCATTGTTAATAAAGCTCACACATGTGTTACAATCCTCTCCAGCATGTGAATTCTCTGCTGAATCAGCAACCCAACCAGGTAGAGTGAAAGGGGACACGGAGCGACTTACCAGAGCATCTGCCTTATGCTTGAGTTTTTTGGCTTCTTGCATGTAATAATCAGCATTGTGAAGCCTAGAAAAACACAACAACAACAACAACAACAACAATAACAACAACAGTGGTGAGAAGAAGCAGCTATGGGATTTCAGCTCTTGCATTGGCCTGATCTAGACTTCATGCTTACAGGGCTTGCCTTAATCCTGCCCATCTTCTAATAATAAAATAAAAAATAAAATACTATGTAAATCTACAGAGTACTCTGCTTTCTTCACTCTTGTGACTTATCCCAGAAGCTAAGAAGGAATAAATTCTGGAAAATATTCAGGCGGGAGACCACTTGGCAATCTAAGAGCTGTAGACCACACTGGGAAGTCAAAAGGACATCTTGGAAGAAGCTGACTCCAAAAGACATCTGCTAAATGTATCGAGATTTCCAACTTCTAATACATGCACAGTAAGTTTTCTTCCCCTACAAATATGTGTTTCTTTATTTGCCCAATCTCTAGCCATTGCAAAATGTACCTCCAGCTTCTCTCTTTGTAACATCAGATTAGATAATTATAGGATCATTTAGAAGGCTAAACTTTAAATGACCAGGTGGATTTTTGATCTGTCTGGAGTTCATTCAAAACTGGGCCAGGATTGGCGAAACCCAGCTCCTGGTCCTGTTTAGTGACAAATTCCATCTGGGTGACTTTGGGTTGGTCTCTCTCAGTTCTAAAAAGAAAGTAAGAGCAAACAATTTCTGAAAACGTTGCCCAAAGAACCGCAGGGATCTGTCTGCGTGGTTGCAGGAGTCACAACTTATCCAAGGCCCCAAATTCAACGCAACTCAACCCCAATCACTGCTCAGACAGTGTATAACAAAAATTCTGAGGCTAAAGTAGCTCAAAGCAATGCAAAAATTGTGAAGGGTTTAAAATTGACATTAAATTATAATCTAAAAGAGAATTTGTAGAAGATGATGTATCATTGGTATTTAACACCAGATACATTATCGAACTTGTATAAAGGCATGTCAAATGAATGTCAGAAGTGTAAAAATAAAGAAGGGACTTTTTTATTATCTATGGGGGAACATGTGATAAAGCAAAAAAAAAAAAAATTGGAATGTGATTCATGTTTTAATACAGAAAATTGTGAAAACGGAGATAAAAATGAAAGCCGAACTTTTTCTTTTGGGTCTAACGGAAAGAGAACTGGAGAAAAAAATTGGAATGTTGTGACTTTGTATGTTGACAGCATCAAGATGCGCAAAAAATGGAAGGAGACTTTGATTCCTACCATGGAAGAATGATTGCAGAAGTTGATGGAGTTGGCTAAAACGGCAAAACTGACTATTTTAATTAAAGAAACGAATGTTAAGTACTTTTGTTTCCACATGGAAACCACTCCTGTACTTTGTACTTGATGTGGAAAAGAATGAAACTCTGACTTTGGGTTTTAAGGATTAGACTGATAGATCTTTGTAGAAATTACTTGTCTGTAATATTATGGAAAAGCAAAAAGTTGTGATTTGATGTTAATGCCTTATTTTACTGTAAGAGAGAGAGTTGGAATGTCAGTGTTTCTTTTTCTCCTCCCCACCCATCTTTCCTCACTTCTCTTCTTCCTTCCTCCTCACTGCTCTTCTATTTACTTTTGTATTTTATAATACTGGTGAAAATATTTACAGACCCCTCACATCCCGGACATAAACTGTTTCAACTCCTACCCTCAAGCAAAGCTATAGAGCCCTGCACACCAGAACAACTAGACACAAGGGGAGGTTTTTCCCCAACGCCATCCCCCTGCTAAACAAATAATTCCCTCAACACTGTCCAACTATTTACAAAGTCTGCACTATTATTACCATTAACCTTCTCATCACTCCTTATCACCCATCCCCTCCCACTTGTGACTGTGTGACTGTAACTTTGTCGCTTGTATCCTTACAATTTATATTGACTGTTTCCTAGTATGATTTGATTGCTTATTGTATCCTATGACTATTATTAAGTGTTGTACCTTATGATTCTTGACTCTTGATGAATGTTTCTTTTCTTTTATGTACACTGAGAGCATCTGCTCCAAGACAAATTCCTTGTGTGTCCAATCATACTTGGCCAATAAAGATTATTCTATTCTATTCTATTCTATTCTATTCTATTCTATTCTATTCTATTCTGTTCTGTTCTGTTCTGTTCTGTTCTGTTCTGTTCTGTTCTGTTCTATTCTAATAAAAACATGTTTTTTAAAGAAAAAAAGGAATGCGAAATTTGCCCCAAGCTGACCAAAAAGTACAAATGCAGCCATAATGAATAAGCAACTAACATATCATCAAACGTTATCTTGGGTCTTCTCAATTCAGGATTCCCGTTGGTGAAGGTGGGACTTGTCAACCAGAGATTGTTGTCGAGGTGGCTGGATTCCAGCAAAGGATTAGAAGGCCTGTTGTGAATGTCTTCTTCCTACAGAAAGTAATTTTTAATTAGCCTTCACGCTAAGCATACCTTTACACGTCCCCGTCATGCGAGGCGTGCGTGCCTTGAAATTAAAATCCAGCTCTTTGTTTTCTTGGGCTGCGTGTCGCTAAGTCAGGCTCAGCAAATTAATTAAGTGCAATCGGCTCCATACTGCTCCCATGCTCAGCATCATTAACACCCACTTCTTCCAAGGTGTAATGTCAGCATGGGTGCCTTGTAGCATCGCCGGCTTATTAAAATTAAAATGTTGGGAGGCAAACAGCAAGGAGAAAAATTCACAAGTATCCAACAATTAGGCCAGGTGCCAGATGAGAGCAGAAGGCTTGCCACCAGAAAAAAACAACAAAAAACTCTTGAATCCCCTGCCCTTTTGCAACCGTACAAGTTAAATCACAGTTTAAAGATCAGTGCTGCGCAGCTTCTCTTGAATTTTGCATGACCAAGGTGAAGCACGGTCAAACGTTAGCTGGGATGGAGAATTTCAAGGAGGACGATGGGTGGCTAAGGGGGTAAGGATCTTGGTTGATTCTTCCTCCTTTATCATGGTATTGGTTGTGACTAAATGAGGGGCTCCAACGTGGCATTGATTAACCCACTCATTTTGGACAGCGGGAAATTTTTTTCCACACCACCAACTATTGTAGACTGAGTCCACCCCCCCCCCGCCCTTGAGTGCCATTGATCCTTTTCTAACTCCTAGCAGGTGCCTACTGTTAGTTGAGAAGATTCCTATGCATAGCAATAAATCAGTTCGAAGGATCCTTGGTGGTCTCCAAACTTGATGGTTTTCCTGACCCAAACTAGGTAACATCATCAGTGTTAGTCAATAGTAGAGTAGCACTGATGATGATGGAGCATGAAACATCTACAAGAAAACCACCAAGCTCAGAGAGCACCAAGGACCTCTCATTTCAACCCCAAGCTACAAAGATTCTCCTCTTATTGATAAGTCAGTGGAATTGGACCTTCACGTGTGGACCTGATCTTTCATGCCTGACACTTACACTGATTCCCTTGGAGTTGGCAGAAGATTTGTTCTCATTCTTCCTGTGTTTGGAGCAGGTGTTGGTCTGCAAGGAGCTTGGTAGGGAGTTCTCTTGGTTGAAGGAGCTGCTGTCCATGATGTTATGCCGCGGGGCTGTCTCGTCCATCAGAGGAGACAAGGGAGGTGGGAAGAGCTTTTCTTCTCTCTTTTTGGTCATTTTTTTCATGGAGTTGCTTCTGTCAAAGAAGAACCGAAGCCAACAGTTTTAGCAAACATATAAAGGCATCCCTTGACTTACCACTATTCATTTAATAGTCGTTGGAAGTTACAACAGCCCTGGAAAAAGTGACGTACGACCGTTTCCCACCATCCCTACAGTCACGTGTTCAAAATTCAGAGTCTGATATGGTTAGATTCACTTAAGAATTGTGGCAAGAAAGGTGATATTCACTTAATGATTCTCTCACTTAGCAATGAAAAAATGGTGGTCGTTAGTCAAGGACTACCTCCTGTACCTCCTTCCCCAGGACACAAAAAAATAATAATCCTACCATTTAAACCCTGGATGTGAAGAAGAAGGAAGAAAAAAAAGGAAATAGAAGCCAAGTCAGATAGAGCCAGCTGACTCGTTAACATGTTAATCCGACCATGGGTTTCTTTTTAATTATTATTATTATTTTAGTTACTCTCCTAGTCCAGTCAATGAAGATTACTTGGATTTTAATCCTTCCTTAGTCAACACATATTGCATTTTCCTGCCATTTACTTTCATGATTATCGACTCAAATTTTCAATAGCAAATTAAGTCAACAAGAATGGATGTCTCCCTCTTAGTCAATTTAAGTCAGTGTCAAGTTTTTATAGATTTACAATACCTCAAAGGAACAAATCAGAGACAAACAAGAAAAAGGAAAGCAACTTGGCTTTTCGACTGGGGGGGGAGGGAAATTCAATCACCTCACCTGACTGTATTCAATAACACATCCACTTCTAATGAAAGTAGCCACCTATTTCAGTTATTATTTAATTGTACAAAACAACAACAATTGGACTCACAACTGGAATGTTCTCATTATTCCTGATAATCCAGTGCTTCAAACAGAATTTTTCACCTCAGCAAATTTTATGGACTTCAACTCCCAGAATTCCCCAACCAGCATGCATTCTGGGAGTTGAAGTTCATAACAAATGGACTTCCGTTTATAAAAATGGGCTACTGAGATTCCTCAACTTCAGCAACTTTCAGATGTGTGGACTTCAACTCCCAGAATTCCCCACCTGACATGAATTCTGGGAGCTGAATTCCATAAAAATGGATGTTGTCACCAACCTTAGCAACTTTTAGACATGTGGACTTCAACTCCCAGAATTCTCCAGCCGACATAAATTCTTGGAGTTGAAGTCCATAAAAACGGAGTCCCTCAACCTTAGCCACATTCAGATGTGTGGACTTCAAGTCCCAGAATTCCTCAGCCAGCATGGATTCTGGGATTTGAAGTCCACGAATGAAAGTTGCTGGAGTTGAGGAACCCGGCCTTAGAATATGCACTCAAGATAATGAGATTTAGCAAAGGGAAAGTTGTATGAATGGTGGGATAAGCACAACCGGCCACCAATGCTAAACTTGGATCAAAGTCTTGAGACTAGGTTCTAGGCCACATTGGCCAAAGTGATCTTCATGGGGAACCATGACCACTAGTGCTAAGTTATTGAGATGACTTCCTACTCATCCTTCTGTAAGTGTTGAGACCCTTTGAACATGAATATAGCTGATGATATTCAAAAAGTAGCAAATGATTGGGCTAAATACGAACTTGGAGGATATTCAGAACAGATCACACCACGATCTTAGTCTCAGTTAAACATAACTAATAAGAAAATCAGGGGGAAGAATTGCTTGGCAACTGGAAACATCTGGGACCAGGGGAAATATAGACCTAGCATAAGGGAAATAACTATTGATGAACACAATTATATTATAACAGAGGATACCGATAGTTGCAGGGCTCAAAGGAATCAAATTAATGACCTAGAAAACAAGCTGAAATTAAGAAACATCAGATTGGGGGCTAACTCTCTAGGGTTTGGTAAAGGCAGAAAATATAAGATTTAAAAAAGAGATGATGCAAGCAGGTGGAGAAAGATAAACACACATTGCTTGAAAGATTACACTTGCATCATCCTTAAATGGATTCCATGCTTAAGGTATTGGTGCCATTTTCAGACTTGGTATGTGTGTGTGTGTGTGTTCAAGTAGGCAAATTAGGATAAATTCATTTGCATTAAGTGGAGTTAGCAATTACACAGGTAGAAGAGGGATTAGGAATGGGTTGGTTTTATTTCACAATGCTTTAAAAGCCATGAGTTTTATGTTTATTGCGGGATTATTCACTCAACATAAATTTCACCGTGCAACAATATGATGGGAGAGGCAGCTTCATTTTGTTGAAAAAAAAATATCCTTCAAATTAAAGTTTAAAGACCAGACAGAGATAAACCAGAGGAGAAGGGTGAAGCCAGTCCTTCCTGTAGGTTGACTGCAGTAACCAGGAGTCATAATTATTTCTTAGATGAACACAAGACAGAAAATAAAGGGATACAATAAAACTAGGAATGAGGTCTATCAACGGCATGGCATTTTGGAGGCTAAAAATCCTGGGCTAATTCTGTTAGACCTACAGAGAAAAAGTAGGGAAAAAGCACATACTCTTTTATGCCGGGTATTCTATGGTTGGGTATCGGTGAAATGCAGGGTGGAAGCAAACAGGAAGCCGGAGACTCTTCTAAACGTTGTTTCTTGTTGTCGCCAAATATGTCCACATTTTCAGACTGCTTCGATCGGAAGGAGAGAAACCAGAAACGTTACGCTTCTTATCGCATCATCTTTTCAACAACGGATGAAATCACATCGTTCTTCCCACCCAAAACCGTCTTTTATCCCAGTGAAATCACCTGACTAGTGGGTCTGGCTACCTCACATGATCCCACCAACTGTTGGGAAGAATCCCTTGAGGAACGGACCCTCCCTCTTTCTACATTGCTAGATCTTTTTCCATGGCTTACTAGGTAGATAAAATGGGGCAGTTGAGAAGGTTTTGGAGTTCCACAACATGGCTGGTTGGGCGGTATGTGGTGAACCCAAGGCAAGGTTGGAACTAGCTGGGACTAAACACAACCCCGCTGGAATGAGTTGACTATGGTGTAGCTGGTCACAATAGAAGTGGGGTCAAGAACCATCCTTTTTGTGGAGAGGCAGTAGGAATAGAACCAAGTGTGGAGATGTTCTCTCTCATTCTCTCTTTCTCTCTCTTTTTCTCTTTCTCTCTCTCTCTCTCCTCTCTCTCTCATTCTCTCTTTCACCATCAGAAGACCTAAAAGACCAGGTTAGGCACAGATCAACATGGGGAATATCTGCCTACATGGTGGCAGAAGTCAACACTGCCTTGACAGCACACAATGACTCAATTAATCAGTCAGTCAGTCAATCAATCTCCTCTTTCTCTTGATTTTTCTTCTTTGCTTGCTTTCAATCACCACTTCTCTCCTTGTGTCATCCTTTCTCCCTTTCCTCTCTCTGTTTTTTGATAGTCTTTTATCTCACTTTCTCTCTCGCCCCCTCTCCCTCCCTCCCTCCCTCCCTCCCTCTCTCTCTCTCTTTCCCTCTCTCTCTCTCTCACACACACCCTCCCCGGATTTTTCTTGCCTAGACAGGGCCTTCCATCTCTGAATTGCCCAAATATGCATGAAATTAGAATGAGTGCCACTTGGCACTCTAAACTGTCCAGATTGATTCAGCTAATATTTTTAGCACCCCAGTTTAATTCTGTAAAACCTGTCAGGGATGGCTGCTTCTGAAATGTCCTATTTCATCTTTAGCAAAAAGAGAGAGAGAGAGAGAGAGAGAGAGAGAGAGAGAGAGAGAGAGAGAGCTGAAGGACAGTCTTTTGTCCCAATTTACTCTCTTTTCCTTCCAGGAAAGGCTAAAAAACGGGCCCTTTTTTTGGTCAGCAATGACAATTGCAAGTAGGTTTTAAAAACCAAACACAATAATCCTGCCTGCAAATATTCAGAGTTGAGATTTCTTGCCCTGCCTCTCCTGTCCCAAAAGCACATTTCAGTTTGAACTTCATATCCCACCCTTAACAATACATCCCTGGATATAAATCATATCCAACCCATGATAAAAGCTTTGTCTCTTGACTCCCAAAAGATTCTGCTTCGCAGGTAGTGGTTGGGGAAGGGGAAAAATGCAGCAGGAAAAGAAGAAGAAGAAGAAAAAACCCAAAGTGAATGGCATTTTGATAAATCCCAGGTGTTTATGTAACAAAATCCCCCCCATTTTTTTTTCCAATGTGGAATAAAGACAACAGCAAATGTTACCAGAAAGCTTGCCTGCTTTTGACTTTGATGGATGGATGCCTATTTAAAACGGAGAGAAATCTTGTCCTAATGCTCTAACCAGTAAAAATGAAACAAAACAAAATAAAACCGACAAAGATGTACCATTACATTAAACCCAGGAGTTGCATTTGATTACCTAAGTCTTTTTTTTCTCTCTTGCAAAGCTCTTGTGTGATATCCCAAACTCCTTTCTAATAAGTGTTGTGCCAAAAAATGTATTCAGCTTTTAAAATATTATTCTTATTCAATACGATGGGGGGAGGGGGGCGGAGTAGCTTTAAAGGCTTCCTCCCCCAACTTTTGAAAGTAATTCTGGCTGAAAGGATGCATATAAATAATCTGTGTTTCTTTATGTTATCCTTACTCCATTGCATGCCCTACCTGGCTTTCTAAACTCTCACTAATCCATTATCATGGCAAAAGGAGTTCACAAGAGGAGGGATCAAGGACATTAAAATAGTAGGGGTGTAATCAAAGCTACTCTTGTTTTAATGTGCATTAAGAAGGGGTGGAGCATTTAATGTGCATTAAGAAGGGGTGGCATTTTTATGAGCCTCGGTGGCGTAATGGTTCGAGTGCAGTACTGCAGGCTCCTTCTGCTGCCTGCCAACTGCCTGCAATTTGGCAGTTCAAATCTCACCAGGCTCAAGGTTGACTCGGCCTTCTATCCTTCCAAGGTGGGTAAAATGAGGACCCAGCATACTGGGGGCAATAGGCTGACTCTAAACCGCTTAGAGAGGTCTGTAAAACACTGTGAAGCAGTATATAAGTCTAACTGCTATTGCTATTGCTAACTCTGCCCACTGTCAGGAGTTTGATCCTGACCGGCTCAAGGTTGACTCAGCCTTCCATTCTTCCGAGGTGGGTAAAACGAGGACTCAAATTGTTGGGAGCAAGAGGCTGATTGCTTAGAGGGGACTGTATAGCACTGTAAAGCAGCATATAAGTCTAAGTGCTATTGGTATTTTGACATGGTGGATAACCTCTGTGGCGGCCCCTGATCATATTGCAACTTCTTCTCAGCTCATTTCAGATGTAGCTTTTAGAGCAAAAGAAGGCAATTCACAAAGCACACCCAAGTACATTGTTGATGTCTGGGGATAAATCCACCAATTTGAGGCATCACCAAGTTTTTGGCCAAAGAAGAACAGAGTTGGAAAGGACCTTGGAGGTCTTCTAGTCCAACCCCCTGCTCAAGCAGGAGACCCTACACTATTTCAGACAGATAGTTGTCCAATTGTTCCTTGAATACCTCCAGTGTTGGACAACCAACACCTCCTGGAGGCTGAGGTAGGTGATGTCAAAGGGAAAAAAAAAGTGGGTTGATGTTTTATTCTGATTTTGCGTGGCCCTATCTTCACGGGAGGGAATAAAGGAATGCTGAGAATAAAGAACTTACTTTGTGCTTCCTTTTGGTTTTAGCAGACGGTTTTTCAGCCAGGGGCAAGGGAGAGTCGGGCGCCTGTCGCCGATGCTTGACGTTGACCTCTCGGGCTTCCACCTTTCCGGAGATGTTCTCAAAGTCCAGATCTTGCCCGGGAACCCGAGAGAGAAAACTCAGGTCTATTTTCACCCAAAGGTACTTGAGTTCTTCGAATTCCTTCAAGGGGGACAGGGGTTCATTCTGGACAATGGGAAGAGGTGAGAAAAGCTGCTCTTCCAAATCTGGCCCATTCTGGTCCACCGAAGTGTTGCTGTTATTGCTCATTAAACTGCTGACGCTGAGGATGTTGCTACTGGAGTCCTTGGCTTTGATGCTGCTGTCCGAGCCGCTCCCTCCTTGCAGACTTTTGGCCTGCAGGCTCTCTTCGTGGTCGGTGTTCGAATCAGAGGTGGACGAATCCGTTTCCACAAACTCTCGTGACTTGGGAAAAGTTTTGCTGGGACCTCTGTACTTTTTCTTCTCCAGAGGAGGGCCGGTGGTGGCCCTAGGCTCCTTCCTTGGAGCGGTCTTCCCAGCGGCCATCTTCGCCCTCAGTTTGGCTTGTTCTGGGCTCTCTTGCGCCTCCTTGTCTTTGGGGGTGCTGCTAGTCATATTTGGTTTGGGCCAATTGTAATCTTCCACACTGGAAGTTCTTTCGACTTTTTTGGGCTGCTTCTTCCCAGTCGTCCTTTGTGGGACCGGCTCATTGTGGACAGGGGATTTCTGCTTGGAACTTTTCACTTCGGCTGGGGTTTTCTGGGCCACCCGGGGTTTGCCTTTCTCTCGGATGGGGCTGCGGAGGGTCCTGTCTTTGGAATCGGGCAAGGACAAGCTGTTGTTTACCTTCCCTTTGTTTTGTCCTTCCATCTGAGCCCCGGTTTGCGACGGAACGCTGTTCTCCCCGTGACCATCATGTTGATTGCTGATGATAGTCTTGTTGTGAGGATTGACTTTGTTTAACCATTTGTCCAGCTGCCATTTGTTAGCTGAGGGGGGTTCAGGCTGAGGGAGACACATTGCAAAAAGTGGTGAAAAATTGATCCCGTTTGTAGTCAAGCTTTCCTTTCCAAATCAGCCATGAGGCGTGTGTTTCCAGGTGTGTGGACTTCAAATCCCAGAATTCTCATAAATGGCCGTGTTGGCTGTGGAATTCTGGGGTTTGAAGTCCACACACCTGTTGCCAAGACAGGTATAGACTGCATATAGACAAAAAGAAAAACTAAAGCAATTTAAATGTCTATGGAGATTCCCAGTTACCCAGTCACAGTTGTCCCAAAGGTGCCTTTTCAGGAGGCAATTCCTTGTTTTTCTTTGAAGACGCTTTGCTTCTTATCCAAGAAGCTTCTTCAGCTCTGACTGAATGGTGGGGAATGGAAGGATTGATACTCCTTGCAGACAGCTGGTCATTTTCATCCTTTTAGAGGGTCATTGAGGCCACTTGGCGGTTTATCTGTGTCCTCAGAGTCAGCTGAGTAGTGCAATCCTTTCATTTCCTGTCATCCAGTCAGAGCTGAATAAGCTTCTTGGATGAGAAGCAAAATGCCTTCAAAGAAAAACAAGAAAGTCCAGTTGCCTCCTAATAAAGCAATTTAACATCTGGAAATCTGGAGATGGACATTGTGATATTTTACCTCCGGAGTTCCGCTACGTGATTCTTCATTGCATTCACTATCGCTGGAGCTGGTTTCACTGTCTGAATCAGATTCCGAACTACTTTCAGATTCACTGGAGCTTCCAGATCCACCACTGGAATGTATGAGGACAGTGTTGTGTGCTGTTGGCAATGGAAGGCCACTACAAACAAAGAAAGAACATATTTAAGCATTTATAAAGATTATTCAGGGATTCATCTCCTTATCTCATATGATATAGGATTATAGATTCTGCCAGGCTCCATAAACCAAGAAAGACATGCTATTCAAGCAAATTTTATGACCGTCCTCACCTATAGACAGAATCTTGCCAAACTAAAGCAAGGTACCATCCCCATAAAGGATGTAGTCTGGGAACTATTAAGGAGGATCTGTCTTCACTCTCTTTCACTCACACAAACTACCTGAGCTGAGTTGTCTCTTGCTTTTCTGGAATGCATCTCTGCCAGCCTGGGAATCCAGCCTACATTCCATCACAGATTCAGAGTTGGAAGGTACCTAAGAAGTCATCAAGTTCAACTCCCTGTCCATCGCAGGATTCACTAACCATTCCGATAGAAGATTCTTTGATTTTCATTTCAACACCTCCAGTCAAAAAGAAAAAAACCACTCCATGCTGTAAGCTATTCCATGATAGTCAACTCTTCCTATTGAGACGTTCTTCCTCATGTTTAATCTGTACCTACAGCCTTAGGGTTTTAGCCCACTAGTTCTAGTCCTCCCATCTGGAAGAGAGGGGAGATCAAGTTCTGTAGGAGACGACTGTCCTTCAGATCTTTCAAGGTGGTTATTATGTCCTTTCTCAACTCTCTTCTGCAAGCTAAACATACACAGGACTCTGAACCGTTCCCACGGTAGGTTGGTAGCCCCTTTTGAGCTTGCCCCATATAACAAACCACAGTTAGAAGCCTTACTTATTAATTTCTCTGTTGCAGCTAAGACAGAGTAATGGAGTTGGAAGAGACCTTGGAAGTCTTGATGTATGATTTAAGGCTTACTTATGATATTCCTGCCTGTAGGACATCATGTTCAACTGTCAAATTCAAAGAGGCAGATTGGAGTGGGCCATAACCACAGATTTGGCCACCTCATGAGAAGGAAGGACTCCCTGGAGAGGAAGAGCCGAATGCTGGGAAAGATGGAGGGCAATAGAAGAAGGGGATGGCAGAGAAGGAGGTGGCTGGATGGAGTCCCTGAAGCAGTCGGCGTGAGCTTAAATGGACTCCAGAAAATGGTGAAGGACAGGAAGGCCTGGAGGAACATTGTCCATGGGGTCACGATGAGTCGGACACGACTTCACAACTAACAACAACAACAACTATCTTCTATCCCACCCCATGGGACCTTCTTCTCCCATGAAAGAGCCACAGGAAAACCACAGAACCTAAAGCCTCACTTGATTTGTTCCGTAATTTTGGCATTCCACCACCACTTAAAAAGTTCTACTGAGGAAATCCAAAGAGGATATGTGTCTCCCCATTAATTTTGATCCGGTTCTTCCCTTCCATTTCTGAAGTGGTTTTGCGGTTCCCACGCAGGACACAAGGAGGGATTTATAGTAAGTTGTAAATTTATTATCACGAGTCAAACTGTGCAGGGGTATAGCTAGCTAAAACAAATAAGCGTTCTTTAAATAATTTACCAACAACGATGTTTCTATCCTTCCTCCCCCCTCTTTTTATTTCATTGAGGGTTTTTTTTTTTTTGGTTGTTAACACATTTCTAATTTATGCCCAAACGAAGGACATTAGGCAGCTCTAATATTTGGATGTAAACACTTTAAAAATTAATTTTAATGAATGCTATGCGTTCTTCTCTTCCCAGCCTTTTCCCTAAGACATACCATAAGTACAGAGATATAGGCATATTACGATTCTCCAGAAACGCCCTAAGGACCTTTTATCTGCAGCTAGTTTTTCACTCATGCTTTTGCCAACAAAAATAAAATTCACCCAGGAAAAAACAAACATTATTGCTGTTCTGGAACCCCCTTGTTTATCTATTCTTTACTCCACTGCAAAACCATAGCTTAAAGGGGAAAAAAACCACCTTAATGTTTAGATTTATTTTGCAATAAATAGAGCTTCTTGTGCTGGCCTTATCTGATTTAGTTTCAGGATAACTAAGAGGACACACCTCCTTCTACGTTCCCTCCTTGCTCATTCAGATCAGGTCAGATTTTTTAAAAAATAAATAAAAATCTATATTTTTAGAAGGGCTCTAGTGAGGTGACACTGGACAGAGGCAGGCACAATTCCCACAAGATTTACTGGAAAAAGACAGCAGAGAAAAAAAAAATGCAAGAGTAAAATAAGGGAATTAGAACCAGCAGAGCCTGAATGTCATTCTTGGCAGAACTCAACACAAGTTCTATTCATTTTAACTGCAAGGATCTTCTTTAAATAATTCAAACAACATTGAAGCATTTGTTTCTGGCTTGGCTCAAAAGGAATGCGTGTGTGTGTGTGTGTGTGTGTGTGTGTGTGTGTGTGTGTGTGTGTGTACAAAATATGAGGAGATTCAGCCTGATGTTCATCTTGGACTGCAAAACTGTGCCTTTTGTCATGATTAAAACAAAAACAAAAAACAAGAGCTGTTGTGGATGCTCCAACACTGGAGTTTTTAAGAAGAGATTGGACCACCGTTTGTCTGACATGGTATAAAGTTTCCTGCCTGGACAGGTAGTTGAATTAGAAGACCTCCAAGGTCCCTTCCAACTCTGTTATTCTATTCTATTCTATTCTATTCTATTCTGTTCTGTTCTGTTCTGTTCTGTTCTGTTCTGCTCTACTCTACTCTACTCTACTCTACTCTACTCTACTCTACTCTACTCTACTCTACTCTACTCTATTCTATTCTATTCTATTCTATTCTATTCTATTCTATTCTATTCCTATTCCTATTCCTATTCCTATTCCTTACCCTATCCTATCCTAGCAACAAACACATGATATTCCAATAAGAAATCAATTCTAATTTGTAACCAGCAATATGTGTAATGCAAAGTGATACGGCACAATTGTAACACCAGTCAAGAAAAAAGAGAAGGAAAAAGCTTGCAAGGAAGAGATAAAACCTCCATTTCCAAACACTGAAAGCTTTATTATTTGCTGCTTTTAAGATCTAACGATACCACTAGACTCGAGGAGTAAATGTAGATAGCAAGAAGCAATCTAGCTAATTTAGCCATCTCTCTAAGATACTATCTGCCTGAGAGACGGAAAGGAGCCGTAAAACATATTTCCCAATTCATCTTGGCCTTTTGCAACTATGAATGTTATCTTTCCAATTTCACTGAACATATGAGATGGGAATGCATACAACTTGTATATTAGCCCATAAAGCATAGTTTGATTGTATGCATTACGCGGTCTAGAATACCTCTGCCCTAAGATACTTGTGGAGCTGTGTTTTTCAACCTTAGCAACTTTAAGACAAGTGGACTTCAACTCCCAGAATTCCCCAGTCAGCATAGAATTGAGGTCCACTCATCTTAAAGTAGGGGATGCAGTGGCTCAGTGGCGAAGACGCTGAGCTTGTCGATCAGAAAGGTCGGCAGTTCGGCAGTTCGAATCCCTAACGCCACGTAAGTGAGTGAGCTCCCGCTACTTGTCCCAGCTTTTGCCAACCTAGCGGTTCAAAAGCATGTAAAAAATGCAAGTAGAAAAATAGGGACCACTTTGGTGGGAAGATAACTGCGTCCTGTGCGCCTTCTGGCATTTAGTCATGCCAGCCACATGACCATGGAGACGTCTTTGGACAGCACTGGCTCTGCAGCTTTGTAACAGAGATGGGCACTGCCCTGCAGAGCTGGAATGACTAGCACATATGTGCAGGGGAACCTTTACCTTTACATCTTAAAGTTGTTAAGTTTAAGAATCACTGCTGTGGAGGATTATGAATGAGCACTTAATCATATACCCCAAAGTATATACTATATGCTTTGGGAAATGCTATGCTACCTTGTGAAGCCAATTGGCCATAATCTGACAGAACAACTGAGCTACTAAGAAGGTGCTTCATGGATATCATTGCAATCATCCTTGAAGATTCCAGGATAATAAAACATCGGGTAAGACATCTCTTGAGCTGTCAGAACGTAGCTTTGCGATCTTAGCAGAAATGCCATCTAATACCCTTCCCAGACTTAGAAGCAAGGAGTGGCTGTATAAAAACCTGTAGAGATTCTCAGTCATCCAGGTCATGGTTTTCCCAAAGGTGCTTTTTTTAAGGAAGCAAGTGGACTTTCTTGTTTTTTCTTCTTCTTTGAAGACATGTCGCTTGTCATCCAAGAAGCTTCTTCAGCTTTGACAGGATTCCATTTCTCACTATCCTGCCAGAGCTGAAGAAGTTTCTTGGATGAGAAGCGAAATGTCTTCAAAGAAAAAAACAACAACAGAAAATCCAGTTGCCTCCTTAAAAAAGCACCTTTGGGATAGCGGCTGTATATACTGTGTCCACGAACATCATGCTCCTTTGGATCTGAGAACTGAGCACCACTGATGGTAAGGAATAGCACTATGGGAATTGTGTAGACTGTAGAGTGCTGTTCATAAGTAGGAGAGCAATCTTAAGGGCAGATCAATGTGAACGGATGGGTTTTTTAAAAGTGTCTAAAGGTAAAGATTCCCCTTGCATATGTGTGCTAATCATTTCTGGCTCTAGGGGGCGCTTCTCATCTCCGTTGCAAAGCTGAAGAGCCAGCGCTGTCCGAAGACGTCTCTGTGGTCATGTGGCCGGCATGACTAAATGCTGAAGGCGCACGGAATGCTGTTCCCTTCCCACCAAAGGGGTCCCTATTTTTCTACTTGTATTTTTACATGCTTTCGAACTCCTAGGTTGGCAGAAGCTGGGACAAAGTAATGGGAGCTCACTCCATTATATGGCGCTAGGGATTTGAACCGCCGAACTTTCTGATCAACAAGCTCAGCGTCTTAGCCACTGAACCACCATGTCCCTGCTAAATCTGTGTCTAAATTTTAATCTGTGTCTAAAAAATGTCTAAATATGTACTGTTCTTGAGATGCTAAGACAGTTCCAAGCAGATACCTGGATTCCCAGCTGCATGTGGATGGTCGCTCCAATGCTTAGGATATCAACAGGTTTATTCACTCTATGAAGAAATAAAGTGAACCAAGTGCTGAGGTGAGACTTGGGCCAGCAGTAGTTGTGGCTGGTGGTTATGGCTACCCAACCAAAAAGAATTTGACAGGAGATAATCACTGTGAAACGTCTGTAAGTTGAGAGTTGAGGGAATGATGTAATTTCTGGATCAGAGTCACAAGGTGGCAAGACAGGAAGTTTCAACTCTTTGCGCGGCAAATTGCATATCTACTTATACGTCAGAGTGGCCAAGGTGTGGCATCCATGACTTCCAAGAAGCCGAATCCTGCAATTTTACACTGTTACTCATTATTATCCCTCGGTGTAAGTCTTTTATCTAAAATGGAGGGCCGATAATGCCACAAGTTTGATGACACCATGGTGGATAAGACATGATCATGGAGATTATATAATTCATCTCAATTGTATCAGAACAGGATAGAATAAAATAACAGAGTTGGAAGGGACCTTTTAGGTCATCTAGTCCATGTGGGTTCTTGGGGTCTATTGTGGTTCGCTGGCAACCTGCACAGACAGCAGTGGAAACGGATAGTGGGGAAGAACAGGGACCAGTTAGGGAGTCTGTGAGGACTCGGATGATGGTCCTGCATCCGATGCAGAGATGGGGCCAGGAGCATCTGGGAGTGGGGTGCTGACTTCGGAGCCTCCAGAGTCTGGCAGCAGTGAGGCAGAGGAACAAGGGGAGCCTGTTCCCAGTGTGCATGTGCACAAAGCTGCTAGAAGGCAAGAGCAGCTGAGACAAAAGAGGCGACTTGGGAGTAAGGCTGGGAGGTGATTGCTCCTCCCATAATGTATAAAGGACAGGCAAAGGTAGAGAAACCTTTGCAGGAAGCAAAGTTGTTCGCTCTGTTTGGATTAATCCTTGAAGCTCTGTGTGGACTTTGTACTTCGGTTGGTTTTTTA